TGAATATTTAGGTATTGAATATACAAAAGTTCCAATATTATTACATAAAGCTTTACTGGAAGTGATAGATAAAGTTGAAAAATTAGAAAAAGAAATTAAGGAATTGAAAAAAACAATCTAAATAATAATATATAATGGGTATTGGTCAAAGTAAAAACGATGAAAATAACAGTATGGAAGACATTAAGAATTTAAGAGTAGATGAAAAACAAGAGCGGATACTTTAATAATTAAATCTATTCAAGAATGTGTGGCAAGGATTGAACAATTAGAAAAAGAAAAACAAACAAAGTTTCGTTATGCTATTCCAAAAGTAGATTTATGCAACTGGTCATTATTCTAAGTTAATAATATTAAAAATTATTAATATTATTAATTATTGTTCTGGGGTTTCTTCTGTTTGTAATGATTTTAGATAGTCAATGTGTTTTTGTGATTTATAGTGTTTTGACATCCAACCCTTACCGCATACCGAACCACATTCACAAGTTATTCTTACAGATCTCCGAGCGTATATTTCATCCTTATTTTCTATATAATATTCTTTTGCTCTTTGTATTGCTTCTTCTCTATGTTTTATATATTTATTTCTATCAATTTCTTTATACTTTTCTGGGTTTTGTTTTCTATCATTCTTTTTGTAGTCGTATTTTTGTTTAGCACTTTCTCTAATATCATCATCATTTCTCATAGGTTTATAACAATTTAATGACGGTCTTAATTCTTCATATAATTCTCTTTCTCGCGCTAGTGCTTCTCATTGATTGTTTAACTGTTTAGTTTCTATTAATATCATTTCAAAATTGTCAAAACCATTATTATCACGAATAAATTTATATACTGGAAAGTTATATTTTTTACTATTTGGATTATTGTAAGTTCTTTTATGCTTTGCTTTTCTTTCTTTGAAATTGGTTGTGTGTCCGATATACATATTTGGATTATCTAAATCTTTACAAACAATCTTGTAAAAATGTGTGGTTGAATAGTCTACGGGTTTTTCAGGCATAATAGTTTATTAAGTGTTATAATAGGTTATTCTTTAAATATTAATGTATTTTAAATGCTTTCTCAAATCTGATGTAATACATCGTATTAATGTCTTTAGAATTCATATTTACATACATAAATGAATATGGAGCATCACCCACTGCCGTGTGATACATTTGTAATAATCTTTCTTTATCCAGGACTGCTGAATTTTCTTCTATGAAACTCATTAACTCGGTGGCATTCTTCAACCTGAAAATATACAAGGAACTGGCATTTAACCTAATGATTGGTGCTAACACATTGTATTTTTGAGTTGAACAAATAACGCTAATGGCATCGTGCCTACCTCTTGTAAATAAACCGTGTAATAATTTACTATATCTAACAAATTTAGTATCATCGGCGTGGTCATCAATAACAATAAGAATTGAATATAATTTCTTCATTTTAGTATTTGTCATATAATGTATTTTTTTCTCTGTGTATCAATGATATTTTCCAATTCTTCTGGTCTGTATTCATCAAAATACACTTGCTCTTTTGTATCATCCACCTTCATTTCTTCTCGTTGGTATTTCTTGACTTCAACAAAAGTAGGGTCATTATGGACGCTCGGACTAAAAATAAAGACACGAGAGAAACAGTTTTTATATACATTTAATATCAAATTTTGAATTAGAACTGTTTTGCCACCTGTTGAAGAAGCAACTATAATACTTCTAAATGGTAATTTTGGCACGTGTTCATAGTTAGATTGTTTAAATTCATAGTCAGTTATGTTTATTGGTTTTACTATGGGAACATCAGGCATAATAACATAATATTAAAAATATTTAAAAAATAATTTAATATTATTTATTGTATGAAAGCATTGCTATGATAGGAATGGTGTCCATCGTAGTAGAACAGGCTCTTTCATCAACTTCAATCAATAAGCATTGAAGATAATTAGTTTTGTGTCTTGCTCGCGTGTGCAATGAAAACCCAAGTGCTGTGCCCCACCAATATTCTATTATGCATGAAATAATAAGATGAATTAGAATAATTTATTTTATTATTTATATGGATAGAAGTTATTCAGATTATATTGATATAATAGATGAAGTAGAGAATATAGAACAAGTAATAATAACTGACAACAGATGTAAGAAAGTATGCTTTTATACATTAGAATTAATAAAATTAGGAATACAATATATCAAAAATAAAAATGTAAATATTAATATAAATGCCAAGAAAGAAAAAGAGTAAATCAAATTCAATATTAGATAATGAAAGACCAATGCCAGATATTGAAGCTCGGAAAGAAACAACAGTAAGTGTTAAATCATTAGGTGTGTGTAAAGAAATAAAATGTGATAAATGTAATCATATTATGAACTTTCAAAATGAATTAATAGTAGATACAAAAAGGCGGTGTTAATATTAAATGTATTCCATGTATGTTATCAGTCAAGAAGAAAGATCAAGAAATGAGTGTAGTGAAGAAGAAAGATGGAGATATGACAATAGAAACAAATGACCATTTAGTCAATGTTAGTTTTAATAGGGTGATAACATAGTACTTAAAGAGTAGATTTTACATTATTTAAACAATTGTTCATTAGAATTAATAAAATTAGGAATACAATATATCAAAAATAAAAATGTAAATATTAATATAAATGGTCAAAAGCAAAATTAATGACCAAATGCAAGAAGAAAATAGAATATTTAAATTAATGCAGGACCAGAAAAAAGGACAAGATAAAATTGAAAAGACACTAAAAGAACAAAAAGGAAAACAAGAACAGATGAGTGAATTAATAGAAAATCACCAAGAAACACAGAAAGAAATTAGTAAAGCAATGGACGAAAATATAAAAACGATTGAAGACAGACTAGCAGCAATGGAAAATTATGATTATAGCGACTATCAGTATGTAGAACAAACAGGACAAGACAATCGCGCTAATGAAATCAAAGTTGATAAAGACGGTGCTGACATTAAGTGCCTGCCGTGTAAATGTGGAAGATTGATAAAAATAATTCATACAATGAAAACCAAAGAAACCAACGGAAACTCACGTGAAGAAACTTGGGAACACAACTATAATACAAAATGTGGATAAATTAGTATTTAAAGAGTAGATTTTACATTAAATCAATTTTATAAATAAATATTTAAATAAATAATTATATAAATAAATATATATAGAAATGTCTGAAGTTGAGAATGATGCTATTGCTGAACTATCAAGGAAGATAATGACAGTTAGTAAAAATGTTAAACTGTTGCACGAGATGATAAAAACTATTGACCAGAAACTTGATGCAAAGGCAAACGAACCAAAAGATAGCAATGAAGAGAAGGAAAAGATTGATAAGATCTTTGAAAAGAAAGGGATAGGCAGACCCAGCGGTGATTATGACACGAAGCGTAAAAAATATTGTGATATGTTAAATAAGGGACAAATCAAAAGTCCAAAAGAACAAACATTAGAATACTATAAGATTATTAAGGAAGATGATAAATATGTATATGTCTAAAACATTATCTAAATCATTCTAATAAACAATATGAATTTATTAGAATTATTTAGTGGAACTGGAAGTGTAGGAACCATAGCAAAGTCACTCGGTTATAATGTCATCTCATTAGACTTGAAAAATGCTGATATTAATTGTGATATTTTGGAATGGGATTATAAACAATTTGACAGAAACCATTTTGATTTTATTTGGAGCAGTCCCCCGTGCACTGAATATAGTGTAGCAAAAACTAGGGGAATTAGGAATATTGAATATGCTAATAGTATAGTTTTAAAAACTATTGAGATTATCAAATATTGTAATCCTAAATATTTTGTAATCGAAAATCCTCAAACTGGATTATTAAAAAATCAGGAGTTTATGAGTGAGTTTGATTTTAAAGATGTTGATTATTGCAAATATGGATTTAATTACAGAAAACGCACTAGACTTTGGAATAACATTACGAATTGGACACCTAGAGATTTATGTAATAGAGATTGTGGAAAAATAAGGAATAATAAACATACTGAAACTGCGCAACGACTGCCATCAAAAACTAAAGCAACGTGGGGAGATAATTATGTAATACATATGCAGGAATATTTATACAAAATACCTGCTGAATTGATTTGTGAGATTTTGACGAGTTTGATGGACTAAGGAATTTGAGTTTCTGGCACCAAAATGAGCCCGCAAGAGGAATTTTGCTCTTTACCCCGGATTTTGGGGTAAGTACCCTGGATTTTGGGGTAACCTGCCTCCTTACCCCGGATTTTGGGGTAAGTACCCTGGATTTTGGGGTAAGTACCCTGGATTTTGGGGTAAGATTTCAAGGATATATTTGACACATACTTAATAAACCTTACAATAAAAAACATTGTAAGATTTATGTTTTGAAATTATGGGGATTTTATATTTTGGGATTTTGGAAAAATATATTTTGGGAATTTGGGATTTTGGAAAAATATATTTTGGGATTTTAGAAAAATATATTTTGGGATTTTGGGAATTTGGGATTTAGGTGGTAAAATTGGTTGAGGTGGCGTGCCCCAGTTGGTTAATATGGTTGAAGTGGTTGACTGAGGGGATTTTATCTGAACTGGGGCATGCCCTTTGGTAGGTTTTATGCCCCATTTGGTGAGCCTTTTGTGAGTCACATAAGGTTGTTTCCCAAAATAGGATTACTGGGCATGCTGATTTGGAAGACTAATCTACCATGTCTTCCATTCACCATTTCAAGCATTGCCTCCAACTACCAAACAGTCACCACCCCTTTTTTCGTCTACCATTTGAGGGGTCTGCCCCATCGCATTCGCGGTTAGCAATCTGAGGATATGACCCAACACTGTGTATGAAACCAAGTTGCAACTTTTTGCATGCTTGGTTTGGTTTTCAAGTCTTCCCATTGCATGTGAGTGCACAAGATGGACACTTGCCATCTTGAAGTGCCAGGGGCCCGGAAAGCGGGGGGGTGGCCGCAGTCGAGACCGCAGGTCCCCTGCCCTAGCGAAGCGCCAGCGCGAGCGAGGGCTGAAGGTGGTAGCAGGGGATGCCCAGCGCAAGGAGCGCGTTTTCGGGGTGCCGCTGCCCTTGCGCAGTTCACATCTGACATCAGGCGGCAGCATGTTCGGGGGCACGTAGGGCTGGGTTGCGGGAATTGCCAACTTCTGTGATACGACTGGACAAGCCAACCTCCCCAACGTCCAATTCTTCACCTGAAGCATGGCATCACAGAAGTGGGGGTTGTTTCCAGACAACTCCAAAAGCTCAAGTGAACCTCCTTTCATTTGATTTCTTTTCGTGTTTTGGTTTCAACTCTCTAAACCGCATCCGTTCCTCCCGTTTTGCTCCCCAGGCCGGGGATTTTTCGCGCGAAGGCACCGGCGCGCGCAGGACAGCTGCCCCAGCGTGCTGCAGGCGCTGGCGGCCTCCGACGCCTGCGGGCCCAGCTCCTCCGCGCCCGAGTGCCAGGCCCGGTCTGCAGATATTCCTCGCTTTTCCTGGGTTTTTGTTGAGCCCCCCCCCCCCGCGCCCCAAAAGACACACATACTCAAACCTTCGGATTGGTTGAGACACAATATTTTTGGGTCGCCAATTTGAGGTGAGTTTAGCTTGGGGTGATGATTAGTGGGGAAGTCTAGGGAGCTGGACCTGAGTAGGGCAAATGGACGAGGGGGGGACGTGGAAATAAGGAACTTTTTGTGGGGGGGTTACAGATCCATTCTTCTTTTGTGTTTTTGGAATTCCGAGATTGCTGAAGAGCTACCCTGCAGGCTGCTTGGCACTGCCAGGGTTGCTTGCTATGCTATTTGCTTGCACTTGTATCATGGCCTACCCTTTCTGCCCGGCCAAGCGCCGCGTGCCAATGCATCAGGTGGGAGACACCGGCAACGAGGCGACGGGGGCTTCCGTGGTGTTGAGCAACGAGCTGACCGGATCCTCAGCATTCGAGCTCCGCGGCTCCCTCCTCATGCACCGCATGCCAAGCCATTGTCAAACTACGTGTATGAGCGTGCGCATTCCACGCATGTCACACTGAACAGGTGAATCGCAATCAATTTAGTGAACTCTTTGCGGTCGGTGACGGTGCAAGTCATGACCCTTGCCACGAACAACCTGGACTATGCAAGACCGCCGTGTCGGCATCGTGCAAACTTTTCCGAGAGGCAAGGATTTCCCTTGATTGAATGCAGGGGCTTGTCAATCAAACGTGACGCGATTGAACTCCATGAGGAGGTTGCACCATAGCCTTTCACTTTACATGAGCTGTACACGGTCCAAAGCTTCTTCGTATGCTGCTTACAAGTGCCGCTTTTCTTGTGCGTTTCAAGGCTGTCTAGGTTTTGGATCATGCTATCCCAATTTCCCCGAGATTGGAAAAGTCGTGGACTTTACCCCCACTGCGCGACTCCTTTTTGATTTTAAAAAATATATAATTAAATGAATAAATAAATAATATATATATATATATATATCCCTAAACCTGTCCAGCTTGGCTTGGGTGGAAAGAGCCCCGAGGCTAGACGCTTTCGCACCGGTGAAGCTGCAACTGAGCCTGTATGCCATGCCCACGGTGACCAGCTGTAGGCAGGATTTGCCTGGAACCGAGTTGTCCGATTTGCTGGTGGTGTCGGACTGGAACATTGGATTTGGGGGCTCGGGCGAACACACCGACTTGGGCGATAGCTGAACCTTCGAGTTGGAGGGTGAAAAACTCAAACAGCTTGGGCCAGTTGGGTCAAAAGACGTGTCCGAGGTTCAGACTTTGCTTGATGAGGGCGGAAACCATTCAGTTCCAGATCCCCAAACTTCAAACCAAGCCTCGGGTTGAGCAGCAAGCCGAGTTGGCACGAATCCTTGGAACATGCTTTCATCTTACCTGCGCTGGGGCAGGTGACCGCACTTGAAGCCGCGCTGGGCCATGTACATGATCGCGCGACAAGCACGGCCTTGCCAGGGCCTGGCAAGAGCTGCGGCTGGTGCACGTGATCAAGCTCCAACAGCTACGGGCCATCACTGAGGAGCGGTCGATGGCCAGGGGCTGGCTGTTTTCTGTGAAGCAAAAGCTGAGCTAAGCGCAGGGTGAGAGGAAATTCCTGGGCTAAGCGCAAGAAGCATCCGCAGAAGCACCTAGACCCGCGAAAGCTGGTGATGCTGGGCTGGTGAGAGTCTTGATGATGCTGGTGATGCTGGGCTTTTTTTACAGAGGCGCGGGCGCTTTCAGCTATTCTTCTACTTTTCGCATTTGACCTTCCCTGAGCTAGACCTTACCTGATGCTGCATTCAGGGTTCCGTTTCCCAGCATAAAGTTGCAAAGGACACAGAGCATAAAGTTGCAAGCTGCAGAGCCGACTTGTCAGACCCACAGATTGTTCATGCTTTGGATGTTTGTTACCCTGCAAATTGTGACACCCTCGATTGAAGGGGCTCTACCTTTGCTTCATTTTTTTAAATCTCCCATCCGTCTTCCCTTTGCTACCGTTCATGTTTGCATTTCCAAATCTGATTGGACCACATGCGACACGTGCACCACACGTTTTAGTCTATTTTAGTGGTTGGATTGGGATGTTCACTCGGGGTACGATTTGGATTTTGACCCATGGGCATGTATGTTTCACTTTTTGTTTGTTTCCCGTGTTCACCCACAAAACGTCCGAGCTTTTTTTGGCCAGGGCCTGCAGCACAGCGAGCAGCGCATCGAGGCGATGGCGGTGGACCTGGAGGGCTACACCCAGGAGGCAGCCTACAGAAATTCAGGAAATCCTCAATCGGTGGATGTTTTTTTTTTCTTCTTCCAAGTCTCCAAAGTGAGTTTTTATCCGGCAACGCTGGGTTGGTGGTTTGGTCAGAGGGCGACTCATTTGCATACTGCTGTGCCAGATGATTCTGTTGGTTTTCCTACGTTGAATGATTCGTTAGGGCGTGGCCCCCAATTGACTCTTGAAACCAACCTGTTGTTCAAATCCCCAAAGCACGCGCGTAGGAATTGCCGGACTCAACTAAACTGTTTGCTTTTTGCCATTTTGGGTGTTCATGCTTCCTGTTGAGCAATAACAGGGGGCTCGCTCGGTCGGAAACCAAGCAATTGCTCAAGTCTTCGCCCCTTTCATGCCAAGCCCAGCGAGATTTTGTGATTCTCGCGGCAGCCAAGTTCCTGTGGCCCAGATACAAGTTCTACATGATGTGCCCCCCCCCCATGTTGAAGAACAACAGTGACTGAATCTGGAGGCAGAAAATTCAACCAACCTGAAAGCGCGATTTGCTCAAACAAGAAAGTGAAACGACATCGATCTTGCTCAACCCAGCAGGAAGTGCAAAAGACATGATGGAAACCGTATTCCGCAAGGATATTGAAGAAGAAAAACATAAAGCAAAGTGGACAAAACCCTTCATAGCGACGAGCAAATCAAGGTGGCTGACATGCCGGGTGAGAGACAGGATATGGTTTGCGAGAAACTGCCGTGAAGCTGAATAATGATATGTTATTTGACCGTTTCACCCATGGAATGGTTGAAGGCTCTTAGATTCGGGTGCGTCGAGTAGTGGCACTCTGGCACCCTTTGTATATCCTCCCTTGCGTGGTTCTTGTTTCGTTCGCTGAAAACGCATGGCGACTTAATGTCAATGTCTCCAAGGATGGATTCTGTCCATCCCCCCTTTGGCAGGAAACCTCAACTTTGGGTTGCTAGTGTAAAGAGCGTTGCCATTAAGGGTAACATTTCAGGGGCCGAGGAGCTCCCTCTTCGCCAGGTCTTCTGTCGCGTGACCAACTCTTCTGTGGGGAAGGCGAGGCGAACTGAGTTGGTTCATTTGCCAACCGGGACTTTGACTGTGAAGCTTACATAGCTTTCCATGCTGTACGTGTCAAAACCGGGGAGATCTTCCAGAATCGCTGGATTCATGCTGGTTCCTTTTCGAGAAGCAAACGAGAGAGACACGTGAAGAAGTTGCCCCCCCCCCCTGTGTTTGGTTCTCAGACCAATTGATCTCCCGCAACATTTGGCTCAAGGCCCCTTTTGAATATCATTGCATCATTCATGATCGCGTGAAGCAAAAGAACCTTAGCAGGCTGCTTACAGGATTATCCACAAGACAATCCACCAGGGACAATCCATCCTCCAATCATCCACAGTGGCATATTGGATTCTCTCCGGAATAGATCCAGGGACCAACACAACGACCTCTACTACCACAGGGTACCAGTTACCTTCGGGGATAGGCGCCTGGGGCAGTGGGCCTCAATTTGTGGTAGCGGAGCGGGTTTTCCGCAGAGATCAAAGAGAAGATGTCATCCGATGGAGAAGGCGTCATGGAAGCCTATTCAAGTATGGCCAAAAATCCAGGCTATACGGAGGAAACGCTAAATTTATCGATGACCGCCAAGCAGCCGCCATCGTACGACGGAAAAGTCAGCTGGTTCAGGTATGAAGAACTCGTGGACGACTGGGTGACCATCACAACGGTGGAAGCACGCAAGAGAGGACCTCTGCTCAAAAGCAGATTAACCGGTGATGCATATATGTACAAGGCGGTTCTCCAAAACGACCTTTTGCAAGATCCTGATGAAGGAGTCAACTATTTCAAGAACACGCTGAAGAAGTACTTTTTGAAAGGTGCGACCAACGTGTATCTGTACAGGCTCCTCAGTTTCTTCAACCATAGAAGGCAGAATCAAGAGTTTCCTCATTTTTACCTCAAAATTCGAAATCCTTCTTATGAGATTGAAGGCAGCATGGATGGACTTGATGCCCGTTTTCACGGCACAGTCCCCAGCATTTCGACAGTCCGTACAGGACGCAAATGCAAGAACAATTGCTCGACATCAGCAAGCAGCCGGTGTTCGAGCACCGCCTCCAGCCCTGCTCAAGGAGGACGATCCAACAGCCCTCAGACAGTATATCCAAGGAATGCAGGACAGACAGCGGGACGCATGTCCCTTCGGGGATAATCTCATTGCACAGTTTTTCATTTTTCAAAGTGAGCTGTCAGATCAGCAACGAGAGAGACTGACAAGTGCAATGTCATTGAGAAACATCTCACTAGAAAACTACTCCTATGAGATGCTGAAGACGCACTACCATGAACTCTTCATCACGACGAGGACATCAATCCAAGATCCATCCATCCGACCTCAAGGAGGCAACCGAAGCAACACATTCTTCATCATCGAACAAGGTGAATACGAAGGAGAAGAAGGCTTCTGGGTTGAGGATGAAGAAGGACTTGAAGGATTCATGTCAAACAACGATGAAGAGACGTTCTGGGTCCTCGAGGAGAACGATGCGTTCATAGCAAGAAAAGTGTCGGGGTGGAACTTCAAGTTCAAGAAGAGAAAAGGAAAATGAAAATCAGGAAACAAAAAGGGCAGTCACCAACGAGGTGGCTTTAAACCCTTCAGAAAAAGCGGTTCTGGCGGAAAGGCCAATATGGCCAACGAAAACTATGATCCCTACGACCAGGCATATTGGGGAAAAGGCAAAGGAAAGAAGGGGAAGAAAGGACAATCAAAATTCCAATATCCCTATGATGGAAACAAAGGTTATCCATCCTATGAGAGTGGCAAAGGAAAGAGCAGAGCGGACAGGAGAAAGGAAAATCCAAGACGTTCGCAGCCACCGCAGAGAAGACGGAGGAGCAGCCCGCCATCCAGCAGACTGCACCATCCATAGAGCCTACGTATGCCGGTTGGACAGACCAAGACTGGGATCAATCATGGACATGGAACGAACATGGCTGGTACTCATCCTACGAGACATCCAGCACAGGACAAGCGTTAATGGCATTCCATGATGCATATGAGCATCCTGGGAAAAAGGCCATCCACGAGAAGCAGAACACAATCTGTCCGTCGCAGCAAATCACAGCCTTCAAAGCTGATGGCGCCTGTCATCAACCCTCAGCACAACCCGACCTATGCGATTCTGGACAATGGATGTACCAGATCTATGGGCAGCTGGCATGCAATCCAGCGTTTTACTCAGGCCATCGAACCAATGAAGGACATCATCTCCTATGAGTACATCCCGGCCGAGACCAAGTTCACTTTTGCAAACGGAGAGACCGCCAGGGTAAATTGGACCCTGCATCTTCGATATTACACAACTCCTCCATGCAGTACCAACATCGACGTCCTTGAACAAGGAACTGTACCGATCCTTCTCAGCATCAGCCAGATGCGGAACCTCTACATGACCGGCATGAACCGTCAAGCAGTTCCAGTATCCGGCGCAGGACATGCGCTCGTCGATCTCGCTGGAGTTGCAAGAGTGAAGGCGCATTGAGAAATTGCTCACAAGGGCCTCATCAACTATGTCTATGACGATGATAACAGCATCAAGTTTCCCTCCGGGGATCTCACCAAGAGCGAAACTGTTTGTGCAGCAAAATCATCCGAGACAAAGGAGGACCTAGCAACTCCTAAGATCATTGGGTCTCAAAAGCAGGACCATTGGATCCTTGACAAGAAGAACAAGCAGCTCATCCGTGTGCGCATCACGCCCCGAAAGGCGCTGTTCACACCAAATGGAGCCAAGGAATGTCCAATCAATCCTGATCACATTAGCCGAGAACGTACTACGGAAATCATTGATGCATCCGCAGGTGGAGATCCAGACATTCTAGAAGACAATTGGAGACTTACATCCCAGGCAAATAAACCGATGATTAACCTGTGGACAGGTAAGACCATTTTCACCTTCGCGGACAATTCGCTTAAGGACGAAGAAGCAGGTTCAGGATCGGCAGCAGACAGGATCATCGACAAGAGGGGCCGGTCGACTATTGAGCCAGATCCTTTCGCACCATCCTCAGAAGAACCAACATCGCTTCCGCTTGCCCTAGGCAGAATACACACGCGATTGTCAATTCCCGAAGAGTTGAAGAAACTCCACCTGCAGCATCATCACATGACAACAGATCAATTTCGATTTAGAACCCGAGCGCTTCATTTGCCGAAATCAACATTCGATCTATTTGACAAGATCCGAAGTGAGTGTGAAGTTTGCCAAGCGGCAAGACATGCACCATCACGAAGCAAAACAAGTGGACTTCGAGCGGACACCTTTGGTGACATGACATTCATTGAACACTGTCAAGTTCCTCTTGGAGCAGGAGAACGCATCATTGTTTTTGTCATCCTGGATGGAGCAACAACATTGCTCACTGCAGAGGCAGTGACAACTACGCAAGAAGCCGAGAACATCACTGTCCTCAGGAACTATTTTGAGCAGTACCACTTGCAGCCCAAATCAGTTGTCGCAGATCAAGCCTTCATGACAGATACATGGGAACATTTCTATCAGTCCCTTGACATCACACCGATATCCTTGGGACCGAATACACCATGGCCAAATCGAGCTGAAGCAGCAGTTCGACTCCTAAAAACACAACTCAAGATCATGCTAAGTTCCATCAAAGCAGGTACAGCACCTGCAACACTGAAGAAAGTGACATACAGGCAGCTAGTGAAGGCCGCTGCAACTGTCAGGAATCAGACCGTCACCTACGGGGGTGCAACACCATTGGAGCTCGCATTCGGAAGACGACCAGCAGATCTCATCCAACTCGATGTCGCAACACCAACTCAGCTGACGATTGACAGGAATAAAGAAGAGCTGACAGCCATCCAGATCAAGCAGCTGTCAAAGCAAGCTTTCCAAGAAGCACGTCAATCCGAAGACATCCGACGAGACCTTGCTCAAAATCTCCGAACGAGTTCAAAGCCTCTTCAGGTGAAGGACAAGGTATTCTACTGGCAGGAAGACAAATCCAAGATTCGTTCCGATGGAAGCAAGGGAGGAATATGGCTAAAAGGAAAGGTCATTTCCATTGAAGGAGCGATGGTAGGACTTGATCTTGGGACTCGACTCATCAAGGTTAACACGACGAAGCTCAGGAAGGATGCGACCATCCCTCCGGGGAAACCCGGAATTGATCTTCTGTTACCAGAAGAGCGAGAATCCTTGCAGAAGGAGCAACCAGGCTCCTCTGCAGATACCAAGAAAAAGGAATCATCCGCTCCAGCTCCTAAGCCAAGATCCTCAGTGCCATTACGTATCGCGGGAAAAACAACTCCAAATCCTGTAGTACCTCATCCAGCAGAGAACATGTTCGTCGAGGACCTCACATCCATTCCTGAACAAGCACATTGGAATTGTGTACGCAAGGGAAAGATCCACGTTCTCGAGATGTTTGCAGGAAGTGCCAGATGTAGTCAATGCTGTGCGCTATCAGGTCTTAAGGTTGGGACTCCCGTAGACATCCGCACAGGATTCGATGTAATGACATCCAGGGGACGACACATGGTCACGGAGATCATCAGGGAACAAGCACCTGATGTCATCCTTATGGCACCGGTCTGTGGACCATGGTCAAATATGCAGAACATCCAACAAGACCAACCAAAGGTTGGGGAAAAGCGGAGACGCTACCTTCCCATGGTTGAATTTGTGGCATCCATTGCGCGATATCAGTTGAAGCACAGAAGATACTTCATCATCGAAAATCCTCAGACATCCAGGATATGGTATCTGAAATGCATGCAACATTTGTTTTCAGATCCATGCATGACCTGGGGAGATAGATTTCCATTTCTGTGCATACGGACTGAAAGATCCTGAATCCGGGCTCAGAAGTCTCAAGCCCACGAGCTTGATGCACTGTTTACCTTCCGAGGTCATGAGACCGATCTTCAGAAGGTGTAAAATTTTTCCAGCTCAGTCAAGCATGAACACCAACCCCTAGAGGGAAACGCTGGTACCTTCGGAAGCAGGACCAAACTGGCACAG